GTGTGTGTGTGTGGTGTGTGTGTGTGTGTGTGTGTGTGTGTGTGTGTGTGTGTGTGTGTGTGTGTGTGTGTGTGGTGTCATGATTCGGTTCTGTGTTGCTTCCTGTCAGGCTTTTATTTTGATGCTACGTCCTGTTTTGTTTCACCACAGTTTCGGTCTTTTTACTTTCTTCATCACCCGCATTAGTTTCACCTGCTCATTATAGTTTGCACCGCATTATAAGCAGCCTTCACCCACCAGTCCCCGCCAGATTGTTCTAGACGCCAGCTCTGACTCTCCAGCACTTTTCGGTTTTGGTACTTTGTGTTTTTGACCGGGATTGTTTCTCTGACTGTTCTGTTCTGCCTTGCCCTCTTTCTTCGGACTGTCACCGTGTATGATTATCGGACTTCCCTTTGGACTACGTATTTGGATTCCTCTGCTGTATGTGTTTGCTGGCTCTGATCTCGGACTGTTTATACCGACCTGTGATTTTTGTGTTTCACCGTGTCTTGTATGGTTTTGTTTAGCGTTAGTTCTCTTATTAAAGAGACGGTTTTGTTTTACATTTCCTTGTCTGGCCTTTTAATTGAGTTCACCCTCAACATTTTTGGCAGCATAACGCGCCGATTCCTGACATGTGGTGTGTGCGTGTGTGTTTGTCTTTATATACTTGTGCGAACCAACCCCTGATGGAACACCTTTCTTGTGTGGACATTTCATTGGTGACTTTCACCAATGCGGTTTCTGTACTATGATGGACTCTAAATCCTGACTGAAAATCCTCAAACAAATCATTCTTGTGCAAGTGGTCACATAACTGCTTTGCTACAGCTTTTTCAAGGATTTTGGAAATAAATGGGAGATTGGATATTGGTCTATAATTAGCTAGGACACCTGGGTCAAGAGTAGGCTTTTTGAGTAGAGGTTTAATTACTGCAAGTTTAAAAGCCTGTGGAACATAACTTGTTAATAGAGAGAGGTTAATCAGATCTAGTATGGATGTGTTGATTAGGGCAAAGACGTCTTTGAGCAGCCTTTTCGGGATGGGGTCCAGGAGACATGTTGATGATTTAGATGAAGCAATTGTTGAGGTCAACTCAGAGAGATCTATTGGAGAGAAGCAGTCTAAGTATAAATGAGGTCTTACAGATGTTTCTAAAGCCATTGTAGTAGATGGCACATCTGCAAGAGCTGTGGGAGTGGTCCGAGCAATTTTTTTCTCTAATAGTTGTGATTTTATTTGTAAAGAAGCTCATGAAGTCATTGCTGCTGAGATCTAAGGGAATGTTAAGCTCAACAGCACTGTGGCTCTTTGTCAGCCTGGCTACAGTGCTGAAAAGAAACCTGGGGTTGTTCTTATTTTCCTCAATCAGTGATGAATAAAATGCGGTTCTGGCACTATGAAGGGCTTTCTTATATGTTATTAAACTATCTTTCCAGGCTATGAAAAACTCTTCTGACTTAGTGGAGTGCCACCTCCTTTCCATTTTTCGTGATGCCTGCTTTAGGGAGCGGAGCTGCGAGCTGTACCACGGGGCTAGCCTCCTCTGTTTCACTACCTTCTTTTTCAGAGGGGCAATGGTATCAAGTGTATTACGCAGGAAGGCTGCAGTACTATCAACAAGATTATCGATTTGTGTGGGAGTAAGGTTAAGGTGGCCTCCTTCCACTGTGTTGGCAAATGGCACTGAAGTAGATAAAGATGGAATTATTTCCTTAAACTTGGTAACAGCATTGCCAGATAGACATCTGCTGTAGTGGAATTGTTTCCCACATAGAGTATAATCCATTAATGTAAATTCAAAAGTTATTAGAAAATGGTCAGACAGAAGAGGGTTATGGGGAAAAACTATTAAGTGTTCAGTTTTGATGCCATATGTCAGAACCAGATCAAGAGTGTGATTAAAACAGTGAGTGGGTTTATTTAGTTTGAGAGAAGCCAACTGAGTCTAATAATGAACAGAATGCATTGTTGATGCTGTCATTGTCGGCATCTACATGAATATTAAAGTCGCCTACTATGATTATTTTATCTGTACTAAGCACTAAATCAGACAGAAAGTCTGAGAATTCACTTAAAAACTCTGAATAAGGAGCAGGTAGACGGTATACAATCACAAACAGAACAGGCTTTTGAGTTTTCCAGTTTGGGTGTGAGAGACTCAGGGTGAGACTTTCAAATGAGTTATAACTATGTTTAGGTCTAGGGTTGCTTAATAGGCTTGAGTCAAAGATTGCTGCCACACCACCATCTCGGCCTGTGTTTTGAGGGATGTGACAGTTACTGTGCCTAGGTGGAGTGGATTCATTTAGGCTGACATATTCTTGCTGCTGTAACCATGTTTCAGTAAGACACAATAAGTCAATGTGATGTTCACTTATCAAATCATTCACTAACAGAGATTTAGATGAGAGAGATCTGATATTTAATAGTCCACATTTGATTGTCCTATTACTTTCTACTATAAGAGGAGTCATCTTAATTTTAATTAGGTTCTTATGAATAACTCCTCTGGAGTTGATTCTTGATTTATATACTGTAATTTAGGTGGGCGGGGGGCAGACACAGTCTCTATGGGGTACTGGGAGCGTTGGGTGGGTAGCAGCTGCAAGGAGACAGCAGAGAGGCGTGTAAGACTGTGACCCTGCATCCTGGACTCAACTCTGGGTTGTCATAATTTAGGTTGTAAAACAAACTCGTCCAGATTTCTAGATAAGAGAGCCGCACCACCCAAAGTGGGATGGATGCCGTCTCTGCTAATCAGACCAGGTTTTCCCCAAAATGTTTTCCAGTTATCTATGAAGCCCACGTTATTTTCTGGGCACCACCTAGACAGCCAGCGGTTGAATGACGACATGCGGCTAAACATGTCATCACTGGTCACATTGGGTAGGGGTCCAGAGAAAACTACGGAGTCCGACATTGTTTTAGCGAAGTTACACACCGACTCAACTTTCATTTTTCACAACTCATTCTCCCTCCCCTTTTTCTGCATCTCTCTATCCCTTTCATGCAGGGGGTCCGCCAGTGCCCAAGAGCGGCGCGGATCCCCCGAAGCCTTTCTCCCCAAACTGCAGTTCATCCAAGTTACACCAAACACCATACTCCTTTATGCACTGAGGGGGACCCTAGCTAGTGAATGGTCAGTAGTAATGTAAAATATACATACCGGTAGTAAATGGCTAAAATAGTCCAAAACTCTAATACCTGTATGATTATTCACAATATGAACCATTAACATATTAGATACTGTACATATGATTTCATAAAGGTTTAAAGCTCCTAAAATTGTTCATCGTTTCTCAGTAATATCAAATATTCCTTTATCATTACATTTATACCTATCACTGACAGTACTTTGAGTGAATGTGTGGCCGGCTGTCACTCATCCAGACCTCCACAGACACACACATGAGAACTTGGCACAACGCTCACCCTGACTATCTCTTTACACACGGCTCCTCCACCTGGCTTTGTTTTTTATGACACAGAGATTATGATGGATTATGGGTTCTACATTTCAGTTGTTTTGGTCATTTCAGTGTACATTATTTACATTGTTTGTCAAAGTACTAATTTGTCATTGGCGTTATTGAAGGAAACTGCACGGGTTTGAGTTTTGCTTTGCCTTATGCTGCTCTGTTTATTTTTTCCTTTTATCCAGCCATTCATCACTCCTCAGTTCCCTGATTTAAGTTGTGAGCCACACTGACTGAGAGAGCTGCATGTGTGGGTATGGCTGTGAGTTTGATGTTTCAGTCTATTGTACATGTTCTGTTTTGTGTCCTCTCCTTATTTCTGATCTTTTTGATCACTTATACTGACTTCAGCTTTTATATTGTTTGTGAGTTTACCTTTTGCATATTTGTACACCCAGCCAGCTGTTCAACTACATATCCTTTGGATCTTTGCCATCTTCCTTTTCAACAATCTGTTCCCTCACTATGTACGTCTGCCTCAGGCACAGCCGATCCCTGATGAACTGCTGACTCGACAGCTTGGTAACCAGGCAACCTTCAGCCCAGTGGTCACCATTGAACCACGCCGACGCAAATTCCACCGTCCAATCGGGTTACGCATCCCATTGCCTCCATCCTGGAGGGAGAGTCCTCGGGATGCTGGGGAGGGTGATACCACCAGCTTGCGCCTCCTCTGCAGTGTCATTGGTAGGGTCTGTTCTGGAGCAGAGATGTTTGTCAGCGTTTCTCTGTAAAGTGATGCCTTCTTTATATTTTTCTGGATGTACATCAGACTGTAATATGTACTAGTGTGTACATAGCATCTGTTACTGTGTTTATTAGGACATGAATCACACAGTGTGGTTGTTGTGTCTCAGGGGGAACAGCACCAGCTCAGTGGGAGGATATTACTGGAACCACCAAACTGATGTACACCAACAACTGTGCCAACTTTACCACCAATGTTTCTGCAAGGTGAGCACCTCAGCAACTCACAAGACCAGTCCACTTCCCTTCCTTGCTCTTAAGCCCACGTCTGCATGCCAGTCAAGCTTCTGCCACTTTCCCTCTCTATTCTCTTCTTCTACTCTATCCAGATTCTGGCTGGCAGACTGTCCACGCACGGCAGAGGCAGTCACCTTTGCCAACCTGATGTATCGGGAGCTGATGGCCGTTCCATATATGGCCAAGTTTGTTATATTTGCCAAGATGAACGAAGCACGTGAGGGACGGTTGCGTTGTTACTGCATGACAGATGACAAGATGGACAAAACACTGGAGCTGCATGAGAACTTCACCGAAGTGGCTCGTAGTCGAGACATCGAGGTCAGTACATGAGTAAAGGAAAATGTCACGACAAGGGAAAGGCATTTTAGTGAGCGATACGCATTATGGCAACCTCAAACATAGTTCCCAGATAATGGAGAGCTTCTTTTGTTGCAGTTTATTTTGTTTGTGTCTTATGATATTGATCCATGCTCTGGCTGTTTTACAAGAGTTAAATCATTCTCTTCTCTTCATCCTATCACCTGTAACATTTTGTGGCATTTTCCGCAGCTGATGGAGGGCATGCCACTGCACCTGGAGTGCTCTGGGAACCTGGTGCCTATCAGGAAGGCTACCCAGCAGCCACGTAGCTTCAGCTTTCAGGCCTTCCGAGATAACAGACTACCTGTCTCTGTCAAGGTCTGTCTCTTCCTGGCCTTTCATACTCCTGCTTCTCTATCACTCACTACATACTTATACAGTTTTGTGGTTTTGTTGGTTCAGTTGTTGGGTTCAGGGCATCAAGGATCCTTTCACCAGTTAGTCAGTTTCCTTTCTGAGGACCCACCCGCTGATCAAGATCAACCAGACAACCTGTTCGAACAGACACATAAAAAAAAACACACGACATGTGTTTTTTTTATGTGTCTGTTCGCTTTTCAGTGTCACATCTGTAGGCTAGACTTTTCAGTTTCCTTCATCATTACCATGTAAAAGTGCAGTTAACAGTATAGTGCTGTGTTCCCTCTGAACCCACTCAGCACCACAGACACAACACCAAGGCAGAAACGTCAGCTTCTAGAAAACAGAAATTAAATTAGAAAAGTGGCATGATTTCACTCAACTCATTTAACATTTAGTCTCATCCTGTATATTTGCGGTTGTCAGATCATATGTACTTCCAAACAAAGGACAAATGCCCTTTTTTTTTTTTTTTTTATATGTTATTTTAGTCTAAATAGTTTTTGGATTATTGTGCAATAATAAAGACTCCCCACCCAAATGGTAATAGTACACTGCAGTTTTCTTAAGTCCTTTTGGTTACAGATACATAACTCACCTCTCATTTCTTATTTCTTACTGTAGACTTTTCTCCCATTCTGTGCTTTGTAGATGTTTAGAGCCCTTCTCTTGCATAGATGACTTGAAAATCTGGTTTCATACTGTACATGCTTTTTTATATCTGTCTTTTAATCATATTTATGTCATTTTTCGCCATTTTATTTGGTACTCTGTTTGTCTGACCATGTGTCTGCCAGTGACTGTTATAAATCAGCTAGATGAATAGTTGGATAAATATTTAGTCCTTATGGTATAGCCAAACAATTTCCCTGTCTACCTGTCGACTCTAACTGTTTGCATGACCTGTGACTCCCTCACTTTCTCTGCCTACCTTCCTATCTTGCGGCCTTGCCTGTCTGTATGTGTCTGTCTCACTGTCTTTCTTTCTCTCTCTCACGGTCACTCTGTAAATGTCTGATCTGACAGACGTCCAGGTAAAATGTACAGGTAAATCTCTCCCTCTCACCTGCCTGTGGACTGCTTTCATCCCTGTTATCCTTTGCTTCTCGTCCCACGTTACCGCGCCACATGTTCGGGACATTGTAGAAGGATCTAATACCGATTTTGATTTGTTTTTCTTCCTCCTCCTCCTCCTCTCTCTTGCTATTTCATTCTCTTTTCTTATGCATTCTTTCTTACCCTGCCTCTTTCCTTAACTTCCTTCATTTCCTCTTTGCACTCCTTCTTTGTCTCTCTTTTTCCTTCTCTCGTCTGTATTTTCTCTATGTTAGGTAAGAGATAGTAACAAGGATGCCACTGGGTTATTGTCCTTTCTGCGGAAGTGCACCAAGTACGAGGACACACAGCATGTACTGTGTAACCTTAACATAACCATGCCACCATGTGTCAAGGTAAGAACTTGGTCAGCAGTACACCTCTGCAAGCAAACATACACAAAGGTTTGTGCTTGAATTTCCCTTGATGTCCATGTGCTTGATGAGACTGAGGTGTGGCTATGTGACATTATCCAAATAAGATGTCAGTTTTAAAAGCTACTACTGTCTACTTAGTAGACTACTCGTTTAATAATGTGGTTTGTACAGTATTTGAAATGGGGAATATTTGTCATAGTTTTCAAATTTGTATAGTATCTGGCTTTAATTTCAGATATACAGAAAGGAAGGCTTTTATAACATTAATACCAATGCTGCATAAATACTGTACACAACATTTGTAGACACAATTCCAATTCTGTGTGACCAAATAAAGCATGCAGCACTGCTTTACCCCTTTAACATCCATCCTTTTATTAGGGTGGTCTACCTATATGAAAACAAAGGCACTATTTTGCATTCAAAGTCCAGTCTTTTGATACATACATTCTGATATTGATGTAAATTTTCATTGCACCATTGCTCTACATTGTGCTAGTGTTCCACGGGTCACACAATAGGTGTTAAAAGGTAAGAAATGCTACAGTAATGACACTTGAGTAGATTAAATTAGGTTCAACTTTATTGTCATTGTGCAGAGTACATATGTATACATAGGCATTGATAGAGCAATGTTGAAAAATATATAGGATGTAAAATATATACTGTATTGTAAATACAAAGATATGCTTACAAATAAATAAAAATGCAGACAATAATCCTAATGTATTTATGGTGTGATTTGGTTGTTCTGCTGTTTTTTTTTAGGTTGTTGGAAGTGAGGAGCGGAGGAGAACTTTAACCCCTCTTGCTCTGCGGGAGCGTTACAGTGCACTGAACGAGCCTGGTGTGGGTGAGTCCTTTACTGCCTGACCCGCAGCCCTCTCCAGATTAAAACACAGTGGAGATGGGCTCCAAATGTTGCACTGCCCCTTTTACCCACAGTTCTTTGCTTCCCACTGTGCCCTCTCAGTTTTCCCCCTATCTGTCTCGTGTGCACGCATGGCACAAAGACTGAGCCTTGGATGCAGTGTACTGCTCAGCAGTATGCCCCATAGGTTTTTGCAGTGCAGATAGAGGAAATCATATTGAATGTGCAACCAAAAGATGAGCAGCAGTCCCCAAAATTACCCGAAATGGTTCCGTGGCACATGCCTCTTCTTTCATTAATGTCCTGGTAGCTATGACAACTGATGAATGACTTCTTTGATAGGTTTTGCATGGCGCTGGTATCTCCACTGCGATTTCCAACGGCATGGCAGCAAGTACAGTTAGCATTAGCACTGTAGCTTAGCAATATGAATGGGCAGGACCTCGCAGTGGAGCTAGACAGAGGAGCCCTTATACTGGTCTGTGGTAAATGAACACAGTCAACCCCATAAAGATGCCCACATGGATTAAATATTGCTGATGGTGGGTGGGGATTGATGGGGAAGGGTCTTTTCTGTCTATCAAATATATTGCACATTGCTATATTGCACTTCAGTCCCTCTGTAATGGTTACTGAATGCTACTTTGATTGGTGGGACTAGAACCTGAATGAGCCCCAGATGCTAACCTCCCCTGTTCTGAAGATTATTTGTACAAAAACAATGTTGTGGGTATTGCTTATTTCCTTCAACAGCTTTTGTCAAGGTAGGTAATTGCTATTAACACTTTGAATACAACTCAAGTCAATGTCAAATCTTTTAGGAGGCAGAAAATGCACTAAAACCAAAAGGGTAAATGAAAATATCTAATAGTGACTGTCTGTATTACCTGAGGTACATACCTGACAGTAAAACACATTTGGTGAAAAGTTGATATTTTGTTCAAATTAATGACAACTGCTTTCACACCACATTTTGCTAGCAAATTATACTCAGTTACTTACTGTAGGTATCAGCTGGACTGTCCAAATCAAGCATGACTATGGTGAAATTTACTGTAGCTTCAGAGTTATAATCTCCTCAGTTCAGTAAATATACACACATTTTCCTGATGACACAGACTTTGTGTGCTGCTATGTGCATGTCTAAAATTGCCCTTTTTTTGTCTTTAGCTGCAGTGAATGCCATGGAGAGGACTGAGATCAAAATCAACATCATAGCTGAGCAGCTCGGACTGAGCTGGGCAGGTTAGTTGCATAAAATATGTAAGTAATTATCAGTCGTTCTGTGTGGTTTTTTTGTATGCATATATTTGTCTGCTTGACTATTCCGTTGTCAGAGTTGGCAAGAGAGCTTCAGTTCGGAGTGGACGACATTAACAGAATCCGTGTGGAAAATCCCAACTCGCTGCTTGACCAGAGCTCTGCCCTGCTCAGCCTGTGGGCAAGCAGAGAGGGGAAAAGGGCTAAGAGTGAGTCTATACTGATGTGTATCTCTTTGGAACTACATTTTAGAAAAATAACTACTGTAGTACACATCTATGAGTGCATAAAAACTGCAGTAAGTCACTTATATCAATTGCATAAGTATTATATTGGTTGACTCTGCTGTCTTCATGGTGTCATGTGTCTGCAGAATAATCTCTAACTTCCCTTCTTTTCTGACTCTGTGTGTTCACACCTCTCCATCACTGGTTTCCATTTCTCTTTCTCTACCCCACTCATCAATGTGCTTACATCTCAGTGGAGAGCCTCTACACTGCTCTGAAGAACATCGATCGAGCAGACATTGTAACCTCTCTGGAGGGTCAGGCTGCACAGCCAGCACCTGGGTCTTCAGAGGAGGGTGCTTGTCGACTCAGCGACCGCGACCCCACCATGCTGTCCCCTAGTGTCATCAATGGTAAGACACAAAAATGCACCAGACATCACATACACATGCAAAATTCTAATCAGTATGATCACTTATATTTATCAATGAGACATGAGTGAGCCCACTACATTTAGACAGGAAAACAGCAGAGAGCCATGCTTGTTGCTCTTCAACAAGTGATTTAATTTTGTATTCATTAATTACCAGTAAACAAGCTAAATGTCAGGCTACCTAACACTTCACATATTTCATGGAAAGTCTATTGTTAAGCTCATTGTTTGTCCCATGATGACCTGTAACAATCAGAAATGGAAAGTTTACAGGAATTATGTGCTCTAGAAGAATTTGGAAGCAAAGGTAACCATAGCTTCAGTCTCTTTAATTGTCAGGTAGAGTATCTGGTACTCTTGGTACCATTTGCAGATACTGTATATAAATTCAGAACATATAGGCTAATAAATCACAGGAAATCAAATATGTATTTAAACTGAAAAGATATATACAATCTTGAATGTATTTTATTAATTAATGTCTTGAAGTATTTAAAATCACCACGATACTGTGCCTATTTTCACATTTGTTCTTTAAGGATTTGCTCTATTGCCTATTCAACCAGATGTATTGGTCACAACAGCTAGTATAGCCAGCACTACAAAAAATCTGACATTAAATTCTTCAGCACAAGAAGGTGAGCTGTTGTTCTCATTTACTTTCCACCTCTGAAAACCTCCCTACTTCTTTGAGTCTGGATAACAGCCATTTTGCCTTGTCTCTGTTGCTCCACAAGAGATCACGGACACAAGGCCATCGCGCCTAGTGCGCAAGCCACAAGTTATTAGACCCCCGTTTTTCAGAAGGGGTAAGTTGAAGGGACGTTGGGCTGCATGGTGGTTTGCTGCTCATGTACATGATGGTGATGATGATAAGGAAGAGAATCTCAAATTATATTTTTGAGGTCTGAGGAATTGATTGTTCACCCACCATGAACCCAGCCTTTTGTAGCATGCGCTACCACCACCTCTGTGCATTCCTCACTGGGGCACAAATCATTGTTGTTGTTTTTTCTGTTACAGCTTTTCACACCTCACATTTGAGCCCTAAACATGATGGCTCTTATTTTTTAGCTGATATACAAGAAATGAGGCTAACACATACTGACAGCATTTTAAGAGTAAACCAGTCTTTTTAAGGCCAAACAAGCCAACACTTAACATATTGTATAAATGAATCCTGATCTGTAAATATGGATTTCTGGGATTGTTAAGATTATGTGCAGATGTGTGTGTGGCTGTGTGAGGGTGTACGCACACATGTGTGTGCATACATACATGTGTCTGTTTGTCTGGGATGGATACACTAGTCAAAATGGGCACTAGTACACAGATGATAGTGTGCTCTGGGCCTTCATACCTTGTGTCTATTCCTTCCTCTTTCTTTCTGTCTGTCTTACTCTTTCCTGGAGAACAAGAGAAAATTTCACCTGTCCTATTCTGCTTGACGGACAGCAGACATTGTTATATAATTGCAATGTTCTGGCAGTCTTGAAATTTTGTCTTTATCTCAGGACTCACTCTGTCCTACTTTCAGTCTTTCTCTGAACCTATGACATGTCATATCTGCTGCCCAGCCGCCCTGCTCCTCCTCCTCCCCTCTCTTGCTCTTCCTCACAGCTCTTCCTGTCCGACCTCTGACCTCATATGACCTCATGTTGACCTCTGGGCCTCCTCTTCTCTTGTCATCTTATTTTCCCGCGCTCCTCCCTCGTTCAGTCGAGCAGGGACCCTCTCCTCCTCTCTCAGTCCAGCTCTGTGTGTGTACTACAGTTTGTGCATGTGCATGCTGCATGTTTTGCCGTTACAGTATCTGTGCTTGTATGTGTATGTGCTCAAGTGTGTGTTTCACAGACCTGGGAATCAGTAAACAGTAGCTGTTAGCATTCAGTGAAGGAATTTATTTTATTTAGTTTGGCTTGCAAGGGATTTATGTGTGTGAATATTTTTGTCTTGTTTCTACACATGATGTGTTTAAAATGCCTTGCAAGATAAACTAGGCTTAATACTTTACATAAAAATATCTTAGAATACATTTTTACTTAAATCTACACAAGAGGATTTTTGTCTGTACAGTGAGAGGTTTCCTGGACAGAAAGTGTACAGTTTTTGATTACATCTTTATGTGCATGGCATGTTTTCAATGTATGACGTTTTCTTTACAGTGTCAAATGTTTCCTCTGTCCAACTGGTGTATTTCAGTCTTGTTATAAATGCTATTCTAACAAACAAGTTTTGTTTTCTTTTATTGTAAACCACATGATGTGTTTTAATGCAACGTTGTAACACATGGTCAGCTGTGTAGCACATAATGTTCAACGTACAATGTTGCTTTCACAGGATGTCTTTCATTCATGGGCAGAAAAGCTAACTGTAAATCATTCTCAACATTTAATCTATGTCAGTGTGTAATTTTATCTTATTTGTTCACCTTTTTTCTCTTACCTAAAAAAGATTATTGCGGAATGATTTTGTGCAATCACAAAAGAGCCAGTCTTCATTCATATATTTAATGATTTTTGCAAACTATTTTTTGCCCATGTCTGAAGACATACGCACTATTAACATTGTCTGAGCATTATCTGCCAGCAGGGATACTGCTGTGAGGTGTGTTTGTGTATTGGTTTGGTTTTGTGTGAATAATTCTGTACATGAGCCTCACCTGTGAGCGAAAAGATGTGTGTTCCCATCTGTAGTTTAATATGAGTGCAGTGTTGTGTGTTTATGTGTGTGTGTGCACACAGTGGAAAAGTGAGTACCATGCTGTGTAGTATGTTCTGTTTTTCCCCCCTTGTGCTTATAATCTCTGTGGAGTTGATTTGTGCTTCACTACGTACTGTGCCTTTGACATCTGTGTTTGTTTAATAGTAGGAGTGAAGGGAAAGACTAACCCAGATTCATCTAACTCATTCTAATTCTGACTCATCCCCCCCCCTTCACCTCATGCCGATGCCACCTGTTATCATCCTGGCCCTGTACCATCCCAGAAACGTGCACATACTGTATGCTTACCCACACTACGGCCCATTAGCGCATACATTCTGAGTGACAAGTACTGTACTGTACTTACACAGTAAAGAAGTATTTCACCCATTAATACATACTTTTTTTTTCAATTCCATCAGTTTTGGTTTATAGCTACACTGGCACATTTGCAATCATTCGAGTGGCTGTGAGATTGAGTTTTTGGTAAAACAGTGCTGATAAAGTTAAACAGAATTGCTGAAAATCTAAAGTAGAAAATGTCTCTTTTGGAAGGTCTGGCTAGGTTTCACCTGATCATTTTCTACCCATAGCATTGCTGGATATTTATACAATAGATTAGTAGTGTAAGAACTATTTAAAAAACAATACAGAAAAATTGGAGGGAAAGTGGAGTTCATCAGCTTTTTGAGAAGCTAGCCACTGTACACTACCTGGTTAATCATGCACAGTGTCTCGGTAGTGACCTCTTGCATTCTACCATGTTTTGTTTCAACAGACTGAACATTACAGCACTTTTCATACAGTAGACATATTAAGTCACTTTGTGTGTGTGTGTGTTTGTTATTACATTTGAGTCAAACCCCCTCACAACCACACTCAATGTTTAAAAACTAGGCTTCTTCAGGATTAGGACAGGAAATAATAACGATTTTAGTGTTTAATAAAATAATTTAATTGCAAAAGGAAATGTGCTAAGTGGCATAGCGGTGCAGTGGTTTGCACTGTCACCTCACAGCAAGAAGGTGCTGGGTTCGAACCTGGGCCAACCTGGTGCCTTTCTGTGTGGAGTTTGCATGTTCTCCCTATGCCTGTATGGGTTCTCTCCAGGTACTCTGGCTTACTCCCACAGTCCAAAGACATGCAGCCTGGGTTGACTGGCGACTCTAAATTGCCCGTGTGTGTGGTTGTTTGTCTACGTGTCAGCCTTTAGCAACTCTATTCAGGAATAAGCGGTATAGATAATGGATAGGAAATGTACAATATAACTAATATTTTGACCAGATGACTTTGTAAAAACTGATTGGAAAGCTAAGCTAAATGTCCTTTGGGTTGTTCTTTTCACTACTATAAAGCCTTTACGTAGTATTCTGAATTTTTTGGTGTGAGCTGTCAGTTTGATACACAAGGTAAAATCTCCTCTTTTACTGATCAGATTCACCTTATTTCACTCATCTGAACTCATTCATACAATTTATCAAAATCATTTTCATTTATAGTATTAATTAATCAGGCAATCCCCAAACCAAACCAGTCAGGATCGGTACAATTGTCTTACATATCACATATAACAATAGATAATGTACAGTATGGGTGCTTTATTCGCATTTCCAAAGCAAATTATCACAACATTTTTTAATATTTATTTATTAATTTTATATTTTTTAATGTTTATGATAAATAATAAAACATTGTTATGTTTGATTTGAGGGCAAAAAAAAGATCAAAAAGTCACTTTGCACATATATTTTATTATTTATTTGATATTATAAATATCAAATGAGAGAAAAACAAGGCTAGGACAACAGATATCAAAAGACTGAACCTAAATGACATGAACAAACTGGTTTTCCTTAACCTGTATTTTGTAATTCCATGAGATTCAGAATACAGAAATAGTTTTATTATAAATGCTAATCATAAATATTATCATATCAGTATTAACATGTTGCTTTTTGTACTGAAATTGAGTTTGTATCAAATAGGTCAAAAGGTTGACTGAATATAATGCCTTTGTCTACGTGACTTTATGTGTTGTTCCTTTTGCTAGTGTCGTTGCAGTGAATGACATCTAACAGTAGGACAAATATATACACTGTTAAGATCTGCTATTGCTTATTATACTGAAGCATCATTCTGGCTGTAATGATTAAACAAAGTGCATGTTGATTAACATTTGACAATGTCACCAACAGGTAGATAGTCCTGAATCCTTAGCAAAAGGAGGGCTTAGCAAACTTAGCAGGTTAACACAAAATAGCATATGCTTCAAATATGTAAGTAATTAAACATTTTAAAAACCAACCTGGTCAGTTCACAATAAAAGTAGAGACCAACTCTAAATGAAACGCACAAATCAATTACATAAAATCTTTAAAATTGTTTTTTTTTGTGTATATGTTGCGTGTATGTGTGATGTGTGTGAGTGTGTACAGTGACCTTATTTTGGATGCTTGGGATGCTGACATATAAATGCATGACTCATGCAGCTACCTGAGAATGTAAGAGCAACAGTAACTTGCATTTTCCTCAGGCAGAATCTGCAAGATGCTGCTGACTCCCACCCAGGGTTGGAACGATAATAGACATGTTTTCTTAAAGCTTTGGTGTCTGACACACAGCTGCGCTATCACTGAAAAAGGAATTCATCCAGTTGCCTGTTTAAAGTCCTTGTCATCCCTAGAAAAAAACACAATAAAGCACATCACCTGACCTCTGCCCTGATTGGTGAACACCAATAAAGAGCTATAAAGGAACCTGTTCAAAATGCTTTTTGAAATTGTATAAAATCATATCTGTGATGGCAAGATTTCAAATGTACAATTAAAAATTGTGTAAAGTTTTTGTTATTGGCTGTAAATCCAACAGTTTTTATGGACATTCCTGATCATCTTTGCCTGCTTCTTAATAAGCTGCAATTTAAATTAGGATATGAAAACCCAATACTTTTCTCTCAATGATAAACTTATATCGTGCCAACCCCACAGTCAATATAATGCATAACTCTAGACACCTTTCTTCTCTTATTAAGGAACACAGTGTATGTTCTGCATATTCACTTTCTTATACAAACTAGAGCCCTGCACCATTCACTTCACAGTCAGTGGATGACACACAAACCCCTTTACCCCTCACCGTACTTGCACTGCTGTGTCCCAATGACAGTAACCTAAATTCCCCTGAAAGACAAATCAAAAGTATAAAAGTATAAAGCTAAAGAAAGCAAATTTTGGAATGAAACACAGTTTATAGCTTCAGGTATTGTTACTAAATGTAGTATAACTCACAATGGCTGGGCTGTGCAGGTCTGTGGAATCAGTGTGTATTTATCACAATGAATGAAATAGACTGAAGGATATCTTAATCCTACAGTAGTGGTCCCACTTTGCTGGATAGACATTAACTCTGTTCTTTATCCCGGTATATTGGGACAGGGCTGTGCCTCACTGTGTCTCTTAGAAGTTGAAGAAACAGTCAACCCACCCACTTCCCTATCCTTGCCCTGGCTGTGCCTGCGTGGCGTTAGTGTTTCTTTTGTGTCGCCCCTGTCTTCCCTCCAGGTTATGGGCTGGTGCAGGAGGAGCTGCTGTCCCCGGCCTCCATGCAGTACAGCTTGCCCTCCCCACTGGGCGTGGAGCCCTATTGGCAGGAAGTCTCCAGCCTCGAGTGCGCCCCTATTGCCACAACAGAGGAAGACACCTTAATGGAGATGTCTGATGTTCAGGTGTGGCCAGCAGGGGTCAGCCCCTCACTGGTTACAGTGGAGGACTCATCACTGGATGGCAGCAGTCGGGCTGATGATTCAGAAGGTGCTACGCTATCCCTCCCCTGCAGCTTGGGTCGCCCAAGCAGTGGAGCCAGCGGGGCCAGTGGCTCCATCATGGAACTGGAGGAGGAGGAGGAGGAGGAGGAGGAAGGGGGGTTTGAGGAGGAGGAGGCGCCACAGGAGCCAGCAAGTGCACTGGCAGAAAGGGACAGGGTGAGGGCTAGTGGTGCCGTTCCCAAGGTCAATCTAAATGGTCAGCTGGGAGGTCAGAGGTCAAATGGGAGGAGAGGGGAGGCCCCTGCACCAGGAGCAGGAGCAAAAGGAGGAGGTTTAGGGCTGGGTTCAGCGGAAGGGATTTCTGTTATTGCAGGCCAGCAGTCGCATGCCCAGCGGTGTGAGACTTTGGGACTGAGTCGTGCTTCAGAGCACAGTGGAGACAACAGGTGTGTTGTAGTTAGGCTCGTATCATTTTGCATAGCTTTGCACTGTCTGTACTCAAAATGACTATCAAATTGTCTTCTATATCACTTTTTTAAAGTGTATTTTTCTTTGTCTTCTTTTTGTTTTAATGGCATTTTTTCTTTCAGGGTGGTGGGAGGCAGCGCATTTCAACCCTACTTACCAGACAAGGACTCTCTGCAGGGCTGGGTGGGCTCAGTTTCATCTGGAAGGGACGGCAGCGTGCCAGGCTTGCACGCAGCCCAGGAGCCTCTGCTGACTCCGGTGTGTGACACGGGTTACTCTCATGTGCTGCGTGGGCGTCTCCTGCAGGGCACACAGCCTTTTGACAAGGGGTTGGGCTTCTCTCACCATGAGGCGGGCCAACGTGCTTGGGAACAGGAGCAGGGGCGGGTCCAGGTCAGGTTTATACGCCGACCACCTGCCGCTTCCTGCGCCTGGAGGGAGAACATCTTTGTCCATCCCTTTAAATTTTTATTATCGAATGGCAAAAACAGTCTTTCAGTTTTACTTTGTGCTCACTGTCATCAACATCAAAATCGATCATTTTGATGAAATCACACAACATGACCAGAATGATGTGTTGTGTGGTACAACACATGGGGGAAATCTGCCATGACAGATAACTTTATACTTGCATTTCTGATTGCAAGAACCATATTGATGGAGAAATTGAAGTACTATGAATTGCTATTTATATGTAAACTGTTATTTTTTTGTGCAGAGAGAGGAGAAAGAGGACTGTGCTGCTGAGGTGCAGTTTGTTGAACATGAAAGCATGCTTATGAAAAAGGTGAGTCGTACTTTCATCATTTACACCTGTATTCAGACACAAACACGGTAAACCCAACAGACAGCATTTTCCAATGAATCAGTTACACAGTCTGGCACAAAAGGATCAAGACGAACTTAACAACAGCCACTGGCCACATGTTGATTAAAGGTATTTTGTCCCCATCAGCAGAGATAATAATAAGTCTGAAAATGAAGAATTAAATTAGAAAAATATATAGTCATATATTAAATACTGCAAGAACAAGTTGAATATTGGTAGAAAATTGCCATTACAGTATATTAAATACTGCAAGAACAAGTTGATTATTGGTAGAAAATTGCCATTACAGTCTTTTTTTATCAATGGCAAAATGCTTGCATATTTTTAAACTGATGTGATATATTGCGCTTTGGGTAGTAAAGTGTTTTGGATATGGTGGCTACTAAATGTAAAACAGTGATGGCCGGGGAACTTTGCGGCTGCAGCAGGCCGTAGTGACTGGCCGGCGGATTGACAGGTTGGTTTCCTGTTCTGGTTACAATGTAGAGGCTTCAGCAGTTAACTGGTCCGAGTGTTGTTTCCTTCCCTCCTCCCTCCCTCCTTGCTCCAGGTGGGGGTGGATGTGAGAAAGGGTGCTCAGTCAGTGCAGCGTACCAGTCTGCGGAGAGTTAAACACTGAAATACAATTACTACCCAGTCCTCCAGGTACGGGACACACAACAAGCACTTGTGCAACCCAGTGCTTGGACAGATACCACTATGGCAGCGTACTGGCCTCTTAGTGCCTAATAGTCTCTCACATGCTGTTCTGTTCTGTTTATGTTGGCATTCAGTGCACTGTGATAGTATGTTTTTTGAAGGCCAAAGTAATTTAGTCTGTATTCTGTGTTAATGGCATCTCTCTGTGTTTTCTAGGACCGGAAAGCCACTGCCAAACCAACCTCTACCAAAACACAACCAGACCGCAGAGGAAAATGAGCAAGGGAGGAGAGGAAGAAAAAAGACTACAAAGTGCAAACTACAAAATGACGAACACAGAATCATCTTCAACATGTGACCATGAAGCACCACAAAAGAAAAGAAGAGGAGCAAAAAGAACTTCAACTTGTAGTTTTATAACATTTGTAAACAAAAATATCAACTAGATTAGGGCATGATTCTTCTTCTTCTTCTTTTTTTTTTTTTTTTTTTACAAAAAAACAATAATTGTCAGTAAAAGAACCAAGAAAAAACAACAACAAAAAGTGCTTCCTGTGAACTGTAATCGCATGGTGACTGCTGGTGCATGCCCTTTGACCTTTTGAACTGTTAGTATCTACAAACTGAAGGGGTACAATGTACGGGGCAAGCCACATGTGGGTCATGGGCCATTTTAACAACCTTATTCCCTCCGAAATGGAGTGGTTTGTGTCAGCAAGTTGAGTCCAATAACACTACAGCCAAAAAAAAGCCCCACAATGGAAGGGTCTGTACACAGCTACAGTAATCCTCTGCTGAGCCTACCAATGCTTCTATCACTGGACCCTTTCCCTTATTATTCTCAATGTGATATATGCACTCTATGCTACGTGGACGTGTCGGTGTGTGTATGTGTGCGCGTATTCTTCTTTACCGCATGTTTCTTGCTTCTGGCTTGGTGCTGAGCCCTGCCCCATGATTAGCTTATTTTCCCCTGTGATGTGACAGCGTGCTCAGTGCTGGAATGAGAGCGCCGCTGTAGTCTTTTGCTCGTGAGCGCTCCTGTCTGCGTGTGCTGACATCTTTTTCTTTGTGGATAAAGTTCACTTCTTGTTAGTCGTTTCTTTGGAACCTGTCCACCTCGGTTTTAAGCATTGTTTGACTTTGGTAGGGAATTGAATCTCTTTCACCCCAGGTTCACAGGGGAAATATGTTTTTTTCAGACAATGGGAATGTTTTCTTTAGAAAGTGAATGCATTGTGCAGCAGGTCTACTTTTTCCTCCCTCGTGACCTCTTCCGTCATTTTTTTCCAGGAGTACACGTCATCTTGATCCACAGTCTTATTCAGTAGCCTCAGTCAATATGCAGTGAAATCACAGGCCTCTCCATCAGCGGTTCTTACACGTATGTTTAAAACTTTGTGTGCTCCCTCTTTTACCTGTTTGCAACAGCTGTAGCACCTCACTATCAAATTTTCGATCATTCATTTTGAAACAAAGTGAATGAAGTGAAGAAAAGAAATGGAGCATCTGACTCTCACGAGGATATAGTGATTTGATGTAAAACAACATTATATCACAAGAATGTGATTGTGAAAGGAACTGTGCAGCGAGCACAGACAGGTAGCACTGTGATCGTTGACCCCAGACTCGTGAACTGAGAAGACACAGACCTTCATAAATACAAACAAAAAGCACACCTATACAAGCATGCATATACACACATAATAAGAAACACTTTACATAACTAAATAATTAACACCTGATCAAAGTCTCAGAAAGTTTTAGGAGTTTACAACAGCAATAAAACTGTAAGAACACTGAAGATGGAAACCAGGGCTGTGTATATCTGCATAAAGGATTTGATACTCAAATCTGTAAATGACTGAACTCCTTGGTGAAGACAGAAGGTCCATCTGGACAAACAGCATTCAAGTTTGGGTTTGGACAGTGGTGCTGTGTCTGACTGGTTCCATTGCCCTTGATGTGATTGAGTCAGAGACGATGCGCTGATGCAAGATCAGATGAGTCAGCTGTAGCAGGGTGGGACTGTGGAGGCCTGAGAGGGATTGTTTGTTTTACAGCACTTAAAGTAGCAAAATATAAACCAGGATATGTTAAATTAACTGATACCTATTAAGAAGTCTGCTGCTGATGTAAGGTGGAACCCACCTAGCTCCATTTTCTTTTTCTGAGTAATTTGTTAGTCTTCACTCATTTAAAAAAAACAGACATCACTACTTCCATGTTCATCCCTTTATATTTACAGTTTATGTGATAAAAACCGACTGCAGCACTATGAAGGGGTCATATCACAGTAGCATACATTTTCTGGAAATCGAAGCATAATATTTATTCCATATGTACTGTAAATACTACTGTAGCCTGAATGAGTGAGACGCTGAATGACTAAATGAGCATATTTGTTCGCATACATTGCACAAATATACATATTTTCCATTCCCAGTCCATGCACGAGAACCTCATTCGATATAGCACATGTTTATTACATATAACGTTTTCCACTGTTACTCCACTCAGGTTTTCAGTTCTGCTCAGTCAGAATCAAAATGTTTCAGTTTTTAACTTCTGAGTCCTTTTCAGGACACAGAGCTAGTGCTTCAGAATAAGAGTTTTGTGTTGGGGTCGTTTGGGGCGGGATGGGCGTGCATGGGGCTTTTTGGTGAATGTATGAAGCAGTACGGTTTGTTTGCCTGTGTGTGTGTGTGTGTGTGTGTGTGGTGGGATGTTCTTTGATTCAAATAAGACCAAAAAAGGAAGCAGAGTATTGAGGGTGTGGTCAGTAACTGCATCTCATTACCCTGTACATGCAACTTTGTGTGCAGAACCCTCTTCTCTGCTGCTCAGCTCCTGGGGCAGCAAAGAGACAACTGGCACTTCTCTTGGTTGTGTTTATTCTAAAATGGTGAAGCATTACTCTTTCTACAAAGATGTACACAAAGTTAAAGAAGACAGTTTGATGTGATTCATGTAAAACTAATTTCCCATAATTGTTTGCAGTTTCCTATGGGCTGCTAGACAAAAACACAGTCCTTACATTGTTTTATTTAGCTTCCCTGTTCTTCCGTGTAACCAGCTCTGCAGTCTTACCAAATGAGCAATGCTCATGAAGTTATGCCTTTTACTGTAAGCCTTGAATGCACTCACCAGGGGCCGAACAAGATATAATTTTTTTATATTTACAGTGTTCCTAATTTATGGCTTTTTTCCAGCAACATATTACAAGTATTCAATAGTCCATCTTTCCTGCCTGGGATTCAAATTACATAAAAGAATCACAGGAGATAATACTGATGAGGAAGACAAAAATTGGTGCATGAGCGTGTCTATCATAATGTGCAAGACAACAGTGCCAGTACTACAAATCAGATGACACTATTGACGACATTCTTTAGTCTGCATGATGAAACAACATGCAGTTTGTTTAGGTGCACTTTAAACAGATCTACAAGTTGTTCTTTATCATTTCTGACAAAATAACAGCAATGACTCACATTTTAAAAATTGTGGAAAAGTTTTTCTGACTAATTTAGACCATGAGTAGGAGGTAGAAATTATGGAAAATATAAGTGAAGTGTTAAACAAATAATAAAAAGGGATGGCCAGTCACTTCTAAAATCCAGGCCACAGCTCAAAGCTGCCCACAGCAGTCATTCAACAGCACATCATTTAGGCCTAACAAAAGGACTGTAAGTCTAACTTTGATTCATTTATCCCCTTTCTTTAACCTAGTTAACACATCAGATGTTGAAGTTAAAATTCTGAGGAAATTTACATTTTAATTATTATGTAGTTTTGTTTTGTGGAAATCGGTTTCCACTTTGAGGTAAGTTTTTCACAAACAAATTTGGATTTTCAGTCTGAATTAAAACTAATCAGCGATCCTCTGCACTATGAGAAATGTAACTAACACTATGTTTCTGTTGTAGGGATATGTGTGTGTGTGTGTGTGTGTGTGTCTGATGGTGTTTGGTTCTGCACCTTGTTGGGTCAGGGGGAAGAAGTGAGAATATTTTTCCTGGGCATGTGACTTGAGAGGACGTGTATCCTACAACAATGTATTTTAAAAAGAGTATTGTAAAATTTTAGCTGTTGCAAAGAATAGAGATCACCTGTACTCCTTTAGAATGGATACATGATAATGTAAACGCAATATCATATTACTCTAACCTAAGGAATGCAACTGCGCACATGCACAGAAAAAGATGTTTTTATGAAAATATATATATAAATATATGACAAAAATATATTTAAATAGAATGCTATGCACCCTCATAGAGTTGTTATGGATGTTCTTTAAGCATTATCTAAACTAAGTCAATGCCCACATCATGGGGAATGTAGAGGCTTTGTAGCTATCCCACTTGTTTTCTTTTCTTTTGTATTGTCCTGGAGAGAGGAGAAACAAACATGACTATGTATACAAGCTTTTCAGTCAGACTCAAGATATGTATAGATCATCTTACCCTGTACACCAGCTCAAACCATTTACAAGAATTAATAAACAAAGATGTGACAGAAACATTTTGTCTTGTTTTTGTAAAAAGTATTTGTGCAGTGTTATATTTTTGTTATAATCTCTCTACACTGACTTTTGTGAATTCGGGTGTAAATTTGATGTAGTAATTGTACACAATATGATATCTCTTTTTTTAGTAAGACTTTATTTTACAGGTCCAGTAATTATAAAGGCAGTTATTTTATTATCACTGTTCAGTTTAATTCTTGTTATAAACTGTTTTTGTAGTACTATGGCTGATAGAGAGGCCTGCAGAGTCTGAAAAACTACAACGTCTCTGGTTGTGACGCCCCTGTTTTCCGCCAATCACCGCTCCCCTGGTCACGTGTGGTTGTGAAGGAAGTCCCAAGATTGTTTTGGATTCGCGCAGACCACGTGGCGGCACATAGAAAGCTTTCGTGGTTTGGCCTTGGTGACCTCCGCGCTGAAAGCAACACGTCAAGCAAAACTGCTTCTCATCGGTTGACCGAGGTGTTATGAGAGATGTCAGCGAGAGGTCAGGCCACCAGTAGCCGGGAAATCCCTGCCATTAGACGGGTCGCTATCCACGATGCTGCTCACATGCCCCAGTTCTACTCCTCGACTCCCGGGGGGACTCTGTTCAGCACCACCCCAGGAGGTAAAGCTGTGCTGGGTCATGTCAGAGGCTGGGAAAATAGAAGACATTAAGCTAAACTTACATCTTATCGGGAATTGTAAGGATATAATAAAGGCATGAAATAAGGAGGGAGGGACTGATTTAAAGGGACTTTTAAGTCTGTGAGGGATGTTTGAGGCGGACTGTACCATGTTGATTTTGGGACAGGCAGTGTAGAGGAGATACATTGTTATAACCCAGAAAGTAACGTTAGACAAATATTTAACTGATACTCTTCCTTAGGTCCTGGTATTTGCTTTAATATGACAGCGTGTCCCTTGGGCCAAACACCTTATAGCTAAAGTAAATAGTCAAGTTCTGTCATGTTTTTGTGTTAATGTTTGATAGCGTTGCTGCTTAACACAGTTTTCCTAGCGTTACGTTCCCGTTGTAGACTTTGCTTGCATGCCTGCATTTTCTGGGAACAGAGACATTAAATGTGTCTTTGTTTTGGGTGAATAGAGCAGTGCAGAGCAATATTTAAAGTCATATGTTCATTTTTATCTTCTCCACTGTGGCTTTATGCATTTTAATTTCTTCATTTATGCAACTGAAAAAGTCGGTGTACAGACGAGTGTGGCATCATAAACCATTTCTATTTTAATATCTTTAAATCCACGTGTGTCTGTTGGCCTTCTTTCCTCCTTGGCTTCTGGACACCATGCTCCATTGATTGCAGAAAGTTTCATGAGAACAAACATTCACTGGCTCCGGCATCAGTCATCTATGAATCACTGGCTTATGAAATTCAGTTTCAATAACCTCTAACTGTAGATTACTTCAGCAACTGTATGGTCAAATGCAGGCGTCAGTCATATCCTATTTATAGCCTTGTTACTACAGCATGCTGTTCTTGAGCTGCAACAACATGTTTACTAGAAGTGGGCTACACCAGGTCACAGCAGTTACATGCAGGATGAAGAGTGGAAGCTAATGATTACCTCGTGCTGTATGATTGTGAGGACAGTGCAAGAAACTTATAACCATAATAAAAAATAAAACAAAATGAAAGTAGTTTTATTGAGTCCACATGGAAACAGGACAGATAATATCAGTAGTGCTCAGCGCACAGAACAACAGTCCTATAGAAAGTTGGTCTTACTCTCATCAACACATTCTGACCCATTAGTTCAGCATTTGACTCAAACAGATACAAGCCTGAGAACCTTGGGAAATCTCCAGTATGGTGATAAACAACACTTTTCCTCAGTGGCCATGAGAAAGTCGACACACAGTGCACATGTGCATTATAACTGATACTGTGTTCTGTAACATCGGCTTGTGTGTTAGCTGCTGGACTTGATTTGATCATGTTTAGTTTAATCTTTTTCGGCTAGTTACAAGTGTTTGATGTTGTGGTTAGCTGATAAATTTTATGATTGTTTGTATTTTTTATTTTGAAGTCAAGTTGACACAAGGGTTTATATAGGTATATAGGTTATCTGTGAAACCGGGTACAATCAGCTTTTCCACTAAAGCAAACATCCAACCTGTATACACAGCTGCTGTACCTCATTTTCATTTGTTAGGCCTGGCAAAATATTTCGTTTCTTTTGTCGCTGCCATCTGCAGGTACCAGAATCATCTATGACAGGAAGTTCCTCCTGCAGTGTCGGACGTCTCCTCTGACTCGTACACCTCCCAGCCTGCCCGACATCCCAGGAGTTACCACTTCACTCAAACCCAGTGACCCCAGTAACACAAATCAACCCGAACAGACATCTAACAATACCCATGACCACAGCCTGTCTACAGAAGAGAACGCAGGTAAAGGTGTCGGTATATTAAAAATGGGAAGAGAAAAGCCCAAGTCATTCATTTGTTTCTGTAATTCAACCACAATGTTTTATTTTCTAGGAGAAGATGACCAGTTTGAGATGGACATCTGAAGATAGCTACAAGGATAAAAATAATTCCTAACATTTTCATACTTTTTTGTTTACTGGAATTAAAAAATATATTGCTATTGGCAATATTGTACTCTTCTCTACACTATCTGATGCATAAAAGTGTTTTTTTCACTTTGATGTTACTTGACTTTCTTATGAACTGTGACACACTTGACAATTAAGTCCAAGTTTTGATCAAATAAATCAACATTTTATGTGATTTGACTCGTTTGGTGACTTTTAAACATGTCTTTAAGATGGTAAATGTAATATGAATCTTAAAAAAACAAATCATCGAGCTTCTGTGTGCTAACAGAAATGTCAATGTTTTGGTAATTTGTGCCACCAGGTGGCAGCAGAGACAAGCTGTAAACACTAACCTATCACTGTTTAGGTTGATCTAATTTGTTAGCACACAGTTACTGTTTACACAGCTAGCAGGTGTGGAGCAACGTTATCATGAATTTGGAGCCATGTTTTTGATCAAATTGTGAATGTAATTCCAATATTCACTCTCCTTTTAGGTCTTGTTAGGGCTCCATCCACAAAAAGGAAAATATCTGGGTCATTAGCTGCCAACTAAGTGCCCTGCTATGTTCACAAGCAAGATGCTCATTTTGTCTGCTACCATGTAAGCTACTGGATAGGTAGTTCAAGGTGCATTTCTACAGCCATAGAGGCTATAAAACTAAAACCGAGCTAAAATATGCTCAACCTACACTTCTTGGAGCAAGACACAGATTGAGTAGCCTCTTGATTTGTAGCCAGTTGGGTTTTCTTGTGTTTGTTTTGTGTCTATTTATAGTTGTTTGGGGTCTGTTTGTAGACATTTTGTTTAAATGATTACTTGTTTCTTTGTAGTCAATTTGCACCTACTTCTACTTGTTTCTCTTTTTGAATCATTTTGTATCTCTTTGTACAGCAGTTGTTTGTGTCTCTGTAGTTTAGCATGCTCTTGTAGTGGTTTTGCTGTCTTTGGGGTCTTTTCTGTCTCCTTGTAGCAGTTTTGTTTTTATCTTTTCTTACTTTGTGGAACCCTTACTCTGTGGAGCAGGCTGAAGGCACTGTTAACGTTTCTTTTGGACAGTCAACCCAATGACTATGGAACAACTACAAAAATGATTTTAAAAAATATATGCAAAACCACTACAAAGAAGCCTGTGCAGTAATCCATCCTTGGCTGTGTGCGACTCTTTATTGGAAGTGAGGCAGGTCATTCAACCAGCTTGAAGTTTTTTCTCTTGTAAAACTGAGAAGTATTGTTTGAAAACACACTAATTAATCTTATGTGCACAATTCTCGTGTCTGTTGATTGTTGCTCATACTTCCGCATTAGTTTAGCAGGACATTATTACATTCATGATGGCTCCATTTCATTCAGGTATCTCAGTAAACATGTCTAGTGAATGCACAAAACCACGACCCTGAACTTTGCCCATATGCACTGACTAATTTCATTATTTAGTCTTATACCTCTGCTTTTCCTGCTAATACAAGCATCTACTGCGAAAATTCCTGTTAAGCCTCATAGCATTATCATTGCCTCAGTCTATGATCACAAATATTTAACCTTGAAACTCTATGGGAAATGACCATCTTAACTGAAAACCATGTTGCAGTAAAAACAAACTCTGTTCAATGTAACAAATAATTTATTGTCCTACTGTAGATACCAAACGTATAAATTTGTCACCCAAAAAACATAATAAAGCGCTTGCACCATTCTGACATTTGCATTTGCCATTACAGTGGCATTAAAGTCCTTTCAGTGGGCTATAAGAAAAACCTTTAAAGATTTTCTGCAAACTTACAGTGCTTCAGGCATTGATCATATTGTGCTGTTCTTGATCTTGACTGGATCGATACTGTACCACAATAACTTCTTATAACCTTGAATTATAGTTGCTCCACTTGCAGTTCAGGCCATAAGGTCACCTAGTCCTCAAAAAGAAGTATTAATAATCTGTAACCCTTTTGTTCTCAGTGTCCAGAGTACAGTATGTTGTACTAATCCCTTTCTTTCATGTCTATTCATCACAGCAGCAGCTTCTGTCCCAGTGTCAGACGTCCCTGCAAAGTGCATGTGGACATACTGTACATCCACTTTGTACCTATGAGTTGCTCAGATCTGTGGCTGTAGACCCCTTCCGCTCAGTGGCTGGTCTGACGTTTCTCTCACTTCCAGCCTTTCCAAAAGGCCTGCAGGTCTTTTTCTCAGTGGCAGCCACACTCTTCCACCACCATGTTATCGTGATGCCTCATGATCATCTTCCCATTCTCGTAGTACAACATGGAAAGCGGTGCCAGCCGTGTGGGCACACAGGACAGACATGGCACTTTGTGTGGGTGGTAAAGCTTTACTAGACTCTGGGGAGAGAGAGAGAGAGAGAGAAGAAAATGCTTAATTAGAACACACTTGTTCAAATAGAGTATTATTCATAGGTGTACAATGTTGCAGCAAATACTGGTTGTCCCAGTGACTGAATCTTACCTGCATGTAGGCATGGTTAGTTGGGGTGTAGGTCTCATCTACCGGTATAGGACAGCTCCCATCACAGCGATAGGCATTGTACTGTTTGGGATGGACAATCCACGCGCTCCAGCCGAGCTTCCCAAAATCCATCCACATGTCCACCTTCCTGCAGAAAGGACCCTTGTCAGCAGTAGCAGCTGTGTGCACACTCTGTTTATGCTGGTGGTTCCTCTTGACCCTGCTGTTCCTCATCCTGGAGCTCGAGCCAGCCGCCACCCTCTTCCTGCTGCTGTGTGGATGAGACTTGGCGTTCGCTGGCCATTTGGGTTCTGCCTCGAGAAGACCACCATCATAACCTGGTCAGCTGTAAGGTGATGGACTCCTTCCAACTCCTGGTGTCCCTCCTCTCTCACTTCAGCCTCTTCCTCCTCCAACCTCCGTGCGGGGGGTCCCTGCTGTAGCCAGCGACGGAGCGTCTGCGTCATGTTGAACACCTTCCAGGAGGAGGGAGAGCCCATGGAACTGGGATGAGCTGTCAGGTGGCCCAGGAACAGCCTGTTCTCTGAGCAGTGCATCCTGGAGCACTGATCGCTGTGGGAGTGGTAGATGTCCACTGAGGCTCGGATAGACTCAGTAAAGGCAGGCAGACGGATGCGAAGTTCAGCCAATTGGACGTTGTCACTTACAGATGTGGAGGACATGTCAAAGGTGATGGACCACCTCTTAGCAGTCTGATGGCAGTCTGAAAGGAAAATTAGTAAAGACGGTCAGTTAGCATTATTCACAACTTGTGAAAGGGAAGGCACTCAGCTGTGATTTGATGAAGATCACATCTTACATGTGCTAAAAGAAATGAGTCAGTTTGAACTTGCTTAAACAAATAATTAAATTGTGGTCAGTGAATAAAATCAGCACATTTTGAAGGTATATATCAAGGGCACATTATGTTTACACGTTGCAAAAGGGAAATACAATCGTATTTAATATGTTCCCTTAAAAGGTTAGGTCTATATTCTTTAGATAAGAAGTTAAGACTTTTAGTCAGTGTGATCCATTCAGATGGGTGACAAATAAAATCCTGAATCAATGAATGGATTTTTTTTAATGAAGGGGTTACTGATTAACCTGCTGATTATTTTCTTTACTATTTGATTGTTTTTGTTCAGAGTATATCAAAATTTGGGGACAATGCCTATTTGGACTTTCCGGAGTCAAATGTCTTGTTTTAGCCAACCAGCAAAATCTAAAGTTTATTATCGTCTATTACAAAAAAGGAAAAAAAACAGTACTTCCTCGCATAAAAGAAGGGCGAAACATTTTATTTTAGAATAGTTGCCGGTTAATTTTCCATGAATTAATTGACTAATGGCTGCAGCTCTGGGTTAACTGATGGACTAATGAGTATGAAAGAGTTTGCTGAACACAATGAGGAGACAGAATAGTGTTTCCTCCCTCCATCAGAGGAGAACTGAAGGGGTTCTGGAGACACTTTTGTAAAAAGTGATGCCTATTCATGTTATTCAATTTTCCTGTAACTGTCAGACATCTGTATGTCTTCTATAATGTTTTCAGGGTGACAATCCCTCAGTTCACAGTGTCCTCTTATATACGTTAATCGAATTGCATAGCATGCCATTATGCAGAGCTACTATGCACAGCGGCACCATAATACCAAAGTCCTAAAGAGTGTCAAGACGACAGATGAATGCTACTTACTTTTAGCGACGAGGCTAATCACAGAGTCTGAGTCGTGCAGGCCGTCCTTGTCTTCCGCCCATGGCTGGTGCACGCTGGATGCCGGAGTCTTGGCACGGTCCTCGGTCAGCATTGTCCGGTAGAGCTGCATCATGTAGAGGTGCAGCTTACTGTTCTGCTGCCGCTGCTCGGTGCCTGTAGAGCCGCCTTTCATCCGACGGAGCAGTGCGTCAGGGTACATCCCATGGAAGGGCTGCACGGAGACACCAAGAACCAAGTCCACCAGAAGAAGAAGCGCAACAGACAAATCCACTGCTAGTCCCTTCATTTCCAGGTGTGATGTTGCCTCTTCTACAGGTAAATTCCAAATGGTCTAGGTGAGATGCTGGGACTAGATCTTATAAGCACTCACCTCTGTCCTGATGTCCTTTGAAGAGCTGTGTTAAGCCGCACAAAGCTGAAAGGCGTTTGTGTCCACGCTCCAAGACTTAAATGTATCGAAACCAGTGGGTCTTTGTAGTGACTGAGGTGTGAAGACTGTAAAAGCCCACAGCTCTGATTGGTGTTGTTTTGTATATTAGAGATCACTTTGATAAGAAGCCATGACAATAATATTAGTTAAGGAGATTACTAGCTCGTGATTAATAGGAAAACAACCCGGGAGTTAATCATCATTTGCTTTCTGTAGCGCTGTTTGAATATAACGAGCAAAATAATAGAGGAGACAAGTCAAGGTCCATGTATGACACAGTCCTTCAGCAGAACAAAATCCGAAATGTTCCCTGTATTTCAATTATTGACTGGGCAATTATATATTTAGTTAAATAGCCTAATCTCACTGCTACCTATATATGAACAAACCAATCAATCAGATATGCAACAAAGATGAGACATTGTCTTTAAAATTAGACTAAAGGTCACCTTTGTCTGTATCATATTATCTAAACATTATACAAACAGCAAAAATAATCCTGGTTATAAAATGAAGTACATTTGCAAATGTATTATACATAAATACTGTTTTACGAAAAATTGGCAAAATGTCAATTAGGACTTTCAACAAAGAAGGACACGATGTGACGCCCAGCTCATTCATGCAACAACCTGCAAATCTGACCTCAAAAGGATGAATAAGGTTTTTATTCTTTTTGATGAACATGGTGTGTGGAAAAGATAAAAAAAAACGAAAGAACATTTGTAACTAGTATTACATGAGTCTTTTCTTTGAAAAACCTTTAATATGATTACATCAAATAAACCTTTGTGGTCAACTTTTATTTGGAACTGGCTTTTGGGTTTGGGTAACTGTGACGGAATGAACTTTTTAACCTTAATTAAAAAGACTTTATGACATTTTATGGCGATTGAAAAGCATAAAGCATTATGCCATGTTGGCATTTAAAAAAAGATGTCCAAAAGTAGAAGTGTAGAAGTTATGACCACGTTTGAGAACACAAAAGTCAAAACCTTTACAAAAATGACAGCGTTAAAGGAAATGTCGTTCTCTATTGGAGAAGGACTGTCGTTCATACCGATAGAGAAGTGGATTAAAGTTTGGATAAAGTTAAATATTCTTTCTAATATTCTCTAATATCCCGCTAAAATGTAGCCAACATAAACAATGCACTTTAGTTTGGGTTTGGGCATAAGTGGAAGTAACAGTACTACAGAGATTATAGCCAAATAACCGTGCGTAAAAGTGCTTGTTTTACTGTATTTCCTTTTTAAACTACGGCTGATTTTTGCGGAAGAAGCAAAATGACACCCCTTAAAAATAATAAAACTGAAATGAAATTTTAAAAAAAGCAACAAAAAAAAGTATAAAGTCAGTTAAACACAAAAATGAGACAGAAAGAAAGAAAAAGTTCAAATATGTTACTCTGACGACAGAGTTTAGCGTATTTGATTTTATTTTGGTAACCTCCTCTAATCGCACGCGCCCTCTCACCTGCCGATAAAAGCGTTTCCTCTCAGGTGTCGTTGTTTGTCCAGATGAGCGTGCGGGCCGACATGGACTGGCACCGGTTCATTTGTTTGCTTTTACTGACAAGTCAGAGATTTTGTGCAGGTAACGACATTTCTAACTTACTTGTTTAATGCGTTTGTGTTATTTTAGCTACAGTCTGTGCAAACACGTTTGACTTCACTACAGTAACGCTCAGGAATCGTGACACTTTCATTAGATACGAAACATGAACGAGATAATATGGCGTTTTCAGTCAGAGCCTGCAGATGGCTGTTCAGGCCAACAAGCGGTGTTATTTCTGTGAAATGTCTTCTAAGGTGGAAGTGCTTGCACAATGTAAAGTATCAAATATGTTTGGCTTTCCTTTTTGAAGTGTATATGTGAGGTTCTTGGAATGTCTTAATATAAACCCACAATATCACATATTAGACCGTTAGCGGTCAAATTAGAACCCCCCCGTTATAGTGTCATGGCTTACACTTGGCAGTTTTATTTAATTACATTTCTGATTCTATTGTTGCTCAGCTCCATTGTGTGGCACTGCTCACCATGCAAACAAGTCAAATAGTGTAGGAACAGATGATACCATGTGTTCGCATCACTTTGCTGTTCTGTCATTTCCTAATATTTTTTAATCTGCCTCAGCATTTTTTTTTTTCCCCCTCAAGGCACCATGTGACTCCTGCTTGTTTTCTAGCTATCCATGCCCTAACCAATGCTGATTACCTGGATCAGGTGTGTTCAGTCAATCAGAAGCTGGAGGATACCATCTTAAGTGAAGGTGATGTGAGGAAAGACAAAGTGCATTGGTATCTTCCAGTTTCTGACTAATCACACCTGATCCAGGTAATTAGCCGTGGGTAGAGCAGGGATAGTTAAAAAATATGCAGGGCAGCGGCACTTGAGGACCAGAATTGCCCACCCCTGCCCTAAATCCTTGAACCTTACAGAAGATATCGTTTCAGTGACCATTTAGCTTGCCTGAAGAAAAGGAGTGTCTGTTTTTCAGATGGACTTTATTTATTCAGTCAATGACTTGGACTAGATGACTGCCAGGCCTTTCATATTCTGCAGTCCATCTTGCAGCTTGTTTTTATTTTGTCTTTCTCTCTTTGTAGGACAAATTTCAGGATGCAGTCAAGGCCAGTGGCAGTGTGGTGACGGAAGCTGCATCCCAGATCTCTGGAGATGTGATGGAAGTGGAGACTGTCTGGATGGATCTGATGAAATGGACTGTGCTGGTAGGTCTCCTTCCTGTCCTCTGTCAACCTTACCATAGTACATCCTAGGAGAATGGTTATGTATGAAATGCATACCGTAGTCTTGAATGTCTGTTATTCCTGGTATACGACTGGTCACATATGACCATTTGCTGTTGCATGTACTGTAACGTGAATTGATGGTGCAGTCCTGAATGCATGTTCTGCAAAATTACTAACATTTCATTTCCTTTCATGGTGTCTTGTGTCCTTCTATCCAGCACTCCCAGGCTCTTATTGATGGTGCAGTCCTGAATGCATGTTTTGCAAAATTACTAACATTTCACTTCCTTTCATGGTGTCTTGTGTCCTCCTATCCAGCACTCCCAGGCTCTCCCAAATGTCCACCAGGTCAGTTTCCTTGTCTGGACTCGGTTGGCTGTGTTGATGTGTCGGCCCGCTGCGATGGACAAAGCCAGTGTCCCACCGGATCTGATGAGGAGAACTGTACAGCCACCAAGGGCTGTTTGGACTCGGACTGGAGCTGTCGAAACTACATCTGCATCCCCAAAGAGCTGCGCTGCAGCGGACTGAACGACTGCATGGACAACTCTGATGAAGAGGGCTGTGGTGAGAAAGGCGTGAATGCTGCATCATAGGAAACTCTGTCTGTTGGACTGCATGGCACAGCAAAGGGAAGAATTGGTGACTGTAAACTTTAAGCAATAGTCCTTAAATGATTATCATATCTTGCCTTTTATATTTATTATGTGATTTAATATATCAGTGTTGACACTAATTCAGTTAGAAGCCAGCCCTACTGATTTACAAACTCAAGAGGGAGGTACATGAGAAGCATGTGTTGCCAGCATGCAAGTCAGTATAAGAAGATGTAAGCCACAGCCAGAGGGTTACTAATGCATGTTAAGTACTGGAAACAGTTGATTTAAGGATAAAATGCTGATTGGTTTTCCTCTTACAGGTGTGTGTGATGAGGACCATATACGATGTCCTGAGGGGGTGTGTGTGTCTGCTGAAAAGAGATGTGATGGACAGGCTCACTGCTCGGATGGCAGCGATGAGCCCATAACCTGTGGTAAGTTGTTGCACCATTTTCCGTCTTTATAAATTATGTAATTGGTCTTTAGACAACCAGATGGTGATGTGTGTTAATTTTATAATGACCAGAGATGATCAAATGCTTCTTGTTCAAGGATTTCTGCTTTATATTGCGCCTCTTTCAGGTCATACCTGCTCTGTGAACAACGGTGGCTGTAGTCACATGTGTGTTGATGAACCATGGGGAGCTCTGTGCGCTTGTCCTGTTGGATATAAGCTCTCTCCTAATGGAGCAGTCTGTGAAGGTATGTGGTGTGTAGGTAACGAACTGACTCTTTTTTTTTTTTTTAAGCAAATTGTAATGGAAGCTGACAACATAAGTCTGGCAGGGCTCTGCCCTTTGTGGCACCATCCTGGATCCTTTACCCCGTATTCCTTTAGCAGACTTAAAACATTCAAGTGGAGGATTTCTTTTCATAATTGTTTATTTCCAGTCTGTATTTGATGCCCATCTCATGCTTGTGAAGCTAAAATCCACTGTCTCTCCCCAGACGTGGATGAATGCGCCGCATCTTTCTCTCCCTGTCAGCATCACTGTAGAAACACCATCGGATCCTACTACTGTCACTGCAGAGAAGGCTTCAAACTGAATGGAAGCGCCACATGTTTAGCCACAGGTAATGAGGCAGGGTTTTTCTTACTTGACCTAATTCAAAGGGCCACATAACCATCATATGTACCTTATAAAGCCTTCCTCCTAGTGGTTTGAAAACAGGAGCCTCATCTTGAGACTCTTTATATTGGCACATTGACCAACATGGGAATGTAAAGCTAATGGTGATAAGTGTTGAGCTAGTCATTTGCTTAATTGTACAATGTGAATCTACTCAGGATTTAGTTTCGCTTTCTTTAAAGATCAAACCCAGCAACAAGCACCATGAACTGGACAAAAGAAAAGATAGCTGAGATGTTAATTGTTGTTTTGATGTGACATAAGCAAGAAAGAAGTTCAGTAAGATCAAAGAGGGCTTTGTCACCAGAATTTGCCATTGATGTGAAAATGGTAATTGTCACCTGAAATAATAAAAAAAATTAAAAGGCTGTTAAATGAGAAGCAGTGTGGCATGTACGTGCAGGTTTTCTGCTGCAATTAATGAAAGTTAATGTACATTTCTGTCCTTGTCTTTGAGTGATGTCTAGGGTAATTCCTAATGTCAGGGGTGTCACAATTTTTTTTTTTTTTTTTTTTCCTTCACAAATTTTTAAATGTTCCCCCCCCTTCCTTCTAAATATTCACACTAGCTGCACTCTTGAATTTGTGTCCAGGTAATGCTACAAGACTGCTGATGGTACAGGGGGGAGCTATAGGACTTTTGGACGTGAAGTCTCAACAGTTTGAAGTTGTCCAGACTCCAACGTTTGACCCAGTGGCATTGACATTTGACATTGCCCGAGGATGGTACTTCTGGGCTGACAGCCATGGCAGCATTCACAAAAGTGATGGCCAGTATGACAGAACCATCTTTACTGGTTGGTTGACTCAAAGCTTTGTTTGTTTTATTTCATAGGGCAGTTATGGCCAAAAGGTTGAATGTTGAGTACTGAATAAAGCTTGAATACAAGATGAAAGTAACTTATCAACCATTGAGCTTGGTTTTAACATGCAAAGTAAAAATGTTCTCTTCTTTTGATGGTCTACTTGTGCCTTTTGTGCAAAAGCCTGTCTAAGTTGTGGTGCATAAATGAATTTCTTGTTTTCATATTGGGCCCCAACTATACAGTAATGTTTCTATAAAATGCCTTTTGTGCAAAAGCCTAAGTTGTGGTGCATAAATGAATTTCTTGTTTTCATATTGGGCCCTAACTATACAGTAATGTTTCTAAACTTTTTTTTTTTTTTTTTTAACAGGGGAACCTGGAATCAAAGGTCTAGCTTGTGATTGGCTGAATGGAAATCTTTACTGGACCAATCAGAAGACTGAGTCAATCTATATGCAGGCAGCAGGTGGCAGCAGTTGCACTACTGTGCTGAGCAAAAACATCAGTCCATCTGATGTGGTGCTTGTACCTGTGGAGAGGTATATTTGATTTATTGTCTTTGTCTGCTACATGCAATTTAAATATATAGAGCTTTCAAATTTAAGTTTTTGTATGTGCTGCTTTGATAGAGGATAATTATATTGTCAGTAATGTTCCTCTCCCTTTACACTCGGAAAGTTGTTTTTGTATTGATAATCAAAATGAGCTGTTATGAACTCTGCACATAATTAACCATCATGAACACACCTAAAAAGATAATGCACTGGGTGGTGCTTTTTTGAATCTCTCTCCCAGTTTGATGTTCTGGATCAATGTGGGCCAAGGTGACGGGGTGACAATAGAGAAGTCATGGATGGATGGGAAAGGAAGAAGCTCTCTGGTGGTCCTCACTGCTCAGTCTGCCCATAGCCTCACTACTGATATGTCTACAAGGAGACTGTTCTGGATCAGTGACTTTAAGAAAGTGAGTTAAGGAAAGCAACTGTATGTACATCACTTTATTCAAACATGGTGTTGTATAGAGTACATCTTTTCTATCCACCCTAATATTAACAATGCATTATTAAATTTGCACAATCAAAGTTGAGATCACTGTTCAAAAACTGTGTAGTTTATCTTGGGTTTGACTTAAAACTAGTGATTCCCTTTCCTTAACTGATTCCTTGCCATTCTTTATGGCTAAAATGAATATTTCTTCCTCCAACATATTTAGACAAGATAATGGTATTGTGTACATATCTGCATACACATTCACAATCTACCGTGGCTTGTATCCAAACAGCAAAACATTATAAGTGGATGGAAACACTTAAGTTTGGTTGTGAGACATTTATCATTCATGTAGTAATAACTCAATTTGTTCAGTCTGTTGAGACAGTGAAGCTGGATGGGACTGGCCGTTACTCCTTCACTGGACTGTTCAACAGGATACCAGGTCTAAGCCTGGCTGTTTTTGAGAATTCATTCTACTGGGCTGACAACAAAGGACTGTGGCAGGCTTCACAGAGCCAACCACACCAGAAGACATTTCTTGGGAAAGCTAAACTGCCACTATTAACAGTTTACCATGAGCTGCAGCAACCTGAAGGTACTGAATGGAGCAAGAGGTTTTGTTGACTTGTGTCTGAATTCCTACTGCTGTTTTGAGGTTATTCATTGGGTCATAAACCAGTTTTCTAAGTGCATTTATGTTGTCCTTGTGCAACATTCATTAGATTCATGAACAAAATCCATTTAATTTGCCAATAAGTCTAACTTATTTGCAGAAAATGTACTTGAATACTCTAATCATGTTTTAAAACTTATTTTTGTCAGGTTTTTCTGCATGTGTAGAGAGTCCATGCCATCTTTGCCAGCTAACTAAAGGCAACCCTGTTGGATTCACCTGTGCTTGTCCAAATTTCAAAGCACTGTTGCTTGATGGGACATGTGAATGTAGGTTTATCAACTTTAATATCAAATGCATTTTGTCTGTGCTTAAACACTTGCTGCCGTTGTCCCCGGTACAGGTCCTCTTGCTGTTTAGAGGATTAATAAACTGTGTTGTTTGTAGTCTGAGGGTGAAGGTGTTAAAATGGTTTTTCTTCCCACAGATCCAAAATTTATATATGCTACTTTTACCAGCATCAACCTGTTGGAGTTTAGAATCAGAGAGTCCACTAACACCCAGCTGCTTAGCATTGATGACGGCATCCTGTCATTTGATCTGGATTGGTTCAGATCCCGGCTGTACTGGACCAACCAGACTGGTCACGTTGTTTTTACTGGCCTAACCCAGGTCAAGACTGAAATGGTCCCAACACCTCTGCCAGGTTAGTTCTGTGAGTCTTTCCTGGTTTGTACAAATGGGGAAAACTTGTATTGTTAGAATTTAAAGCATGATTCACTTTATAGTAGGAATTAAAGGATAAAACAATGAGATGATTAACAAAACTGAAAACTTAAGCTACATTGCCAAATATTTACTGGTTCTAGCTTCTCAAAAGTGAAGATTATCAGCTTTACACTTTTATATCTGTATATTGTATTGTGTATATACATCAAAATTGTATATTGGTTTTACTTTAGGCATCAGATAAATTGAAATGCAGTTTTATTCTTTCTGTGACTGAACAGTCATTTAAAATGGATAAATCCAGCCTTAATCACAAATGGATCAAATGGCTACTTGCCCACATTACAGCTGTGAACACTTTTGTTTTAACTCTTTTCTTTTTAGTTTGTCTGATAAAAGTGGACCAGAGCAGTGGGAGTCTTTATTGGGTATCCTGTGATCAGAACAGCATTGGCACCACCACAGCTGATGGTTATTCACAGCAGCTGTACCGCACAGCAAAGGAAATTGGAGACTTGTATCTGGACTGGCTGAGGGGTGGGATCTACTGGATAGAGGAAGAACACATTCTCACCATGAGGATGGTGGGAGGCAAAGCCAGAGAGCTTCTGCAGTTAGCAGGAGGAGTCAGAGGGAACATCGCCTTTGACCTCAGAGCCAATAGTCTGCTCTGGAACTCAAAAAGGGCAGGTTAGTTTCATCATAAATCTGAGTGGTGAAATTTGTTTCTCTTGCTCAACTATCACCATTTGTGACTCTGCAGTTAGAGCTTGATACAATGAGAGGTAAAGTATCTGCACAAAATTAGACGGTAATAACCGTTTCAGAAAATGCTCGTTATAAAAATTGCTGTACACAGCTGGAATGTAATAACTTGTTTAAAGCAGGGATGTGCTGTTTTGTTCAAGGCTTTATTTGTAATTATTTCATACAAAATGATCATCTGACTAATTTTGCTACAGTATGGTTCATATGTAATCTTGAATTTGGGTTAATATTTGGAAGTTGTGATCAGTTTAGGGACTGTGGGGAAAATGCTTTCTGGGGCTGCGCAGTTTATCATAAGTGTTGGTCTCCAACAGTCAAGGCCTTTTGGAGCTGGCTGCATTTGAGAGTATCACAACATCTTTAAGTAAATCTTCATTTACTCGCTCAGTCTTTCCATGGTACAGGCCTGTTGAGTTGTGGTTTTTACAGGGTTGACGACCCTGAGTTTGCTACAAGAGAGAAGCTACCAAGCTGGAAGAAGATGGAACATTTCAGGCTCAGTAGTAGCTGCTTTTGAGCCCTTCCTGTTGTCCCTTTCTGAAGACAACATGACTCTGTGGGATCGCCGTGATGGTAGTCCCATCCAACAGATGACTGTGACAGGTCCTGTGATGAGTGCAATTGCTGCACTCATGGAAATTCATACAGGTTAGACCAGGTTTATTAGTTAAAAAGGAAATATTTATTTAGATATTTGCTGCTTTCTATCATTTGACAGTTTTTTTTTTTTTTCTTGTTTGTGGTGTTTGAATATCCATTAACACCCCCCCACCCCCCGAATTTATTTTAGGTTTTCTTTTTGGCTTTTGTACTGAAATTTGAGTTACTGTAGGTGGTACTAGTCTCTCTGATCCATGGTGGCCATGACAGCTCAGGTTCACTGCAGTTATGCTAAAATAAAACTGCACTTGTGAAGTGGAGGGTTTTTCTTCAATGGCTTTTAACTCAAAATGGACATAGTCTGTATCTGTACGGGCTCATCACATATTTAACTAGACATTCACATGAAAGCTACACTTATCTCGTTATTTTGCTTATTGATGTCGTTACAATCCCTTTCATAGTGCTCAAAACTCCACTCTGCAACGAGACATCTGTGCTGTGTCGTCGCTCAGCAGCCTGCCTCTCACAAGCCCTGTTGTGTGATGGTAACGAGGATTGCCCTGATGGAGAGGATGAAGAGTTTTGTGTTGCATGTCCATCTATAGGTAAACCAGTTTGTAGAAGCTCTAAAACCTCCATGTGAGTAATAAATACAACCCTGTTTCCAACAAAGTTTGGAACAGAACTGTTGCCCATCTGAAATCCTATAGCAAGCAAGAATGGAAAAGCATTTTGCTTTCAAAACTAAAGCAACTGATCAAAGTTCCCAAATGCTTGCAGGGTGGTGTTAAAAGATGAGATGAATATACAATAACTTTTGTGAAATGTGTTCATATCATGGAATTTTTAAAGGCACGTTTTGCGAATACCAATGCTGAAAATTCAAAACTTGATTCAGTTAAAATTTTAAAATGATTAGCGATTTTGTTTCATACGTTTTGACCTTTTTTTTTGGAAATGAGTTGTACTTGACTGTCTGGAATTTCCTAGTTTTTGATTTTTAACAATTTTATGCCTTGACTGTAAATTTTCAGAGGATTTCAAGTGCAAGGATCATAGAAGCTGTATCTCCAGGAATCTTGTTTGCGACGGTCACGCTCATTGCCAAGATGGGTCAGATGAGGTTGACTGTTCACTTGTAGCTTCTCCTGCAATTCGGTTAAACATCCTGAGGTGCCGCAGAGGTTTCGAGCTCTGTGCAGATGGCACAGAGTGTATTTTATCCAGCCATGTGTGTGATGGAGAGCAAGACTGTCAGGATGGATCAGATGAACTAGAATGTGGTGAGTTTCCTGAGATGTAATCTGTCTAATGTGAAGGGAAAAACAAATTTATTTATATACAGTAGCACGTGGTCATACACAATGGTAATTGAAAGTGCAAAACTATAGTTATGTAGAACCTTTTGGCATATTTAGTTATATTTTTTTCTGTAAGACAGACTTCACAGTTCTATTAAACTACTGGTAATGAAACTGATTTCCACTCTAAGATGTCATAGAACATGGAGCATTTCCAGCAAGCAAATCTCCTTCAACCACACATCCTCCTCCGACGGTGCCGACTTGCCACAGTCCCTCTGTGCTTTGTCCTTCTGTTCATCTCTGCATTTCCCCAAACCAGTTTTGCAATGGTTTTATAGACTGTCCAGATGGCTTTGATGAGAAGAACTGTGTGAAAAGATGTCCCTCAAACAGTAAGCCACAAATCTGGAGTGTTGGAATTCCAGATTAAGTATTGATTATACTGATTTCACTTTATTCCTGATGTTCAGGAGTGATATGAAACTTGGAAAGCTTAATTTGTTTTCTTTGCATTTCTTGCCAGATGATTTTCTCTGCAAAGACCGCCGGGGCTGTATCTCTAAGAGTTTGGTTTGTGACGGGCGCGCTCATTGCCTTGATGGGTCAGATGAAGTTAACTGCCCAAGCGTATCCATTACTACATCTCAGCCGAATGCCTTGAAGTGCCGTATAGGGTCAAAGCTGTGTAATGATGGCAGAGAGTGTGTTTTACACAGCCACATATGTGATGGAGAGGCAGACTGTGTGGATGGATCTGATGAACAGGGATGCCCAGAAGCCTGCTCACAAGGTTATTTTGCTGTAAACTCTTGAACTTT